TGTACAGATCATGAGGTTACTCTCACATCTCATAGTAGTAATAGCTGACATTTATATAATACTTGAATTGTTGAAAAGTACTTTTCATGCATGACCTCACTGGATTCCCACCACCACCCTGGAAGCTAAGTATTATAGGTATTATTATCCTCATTTCATAGAGAAGCAAACCAAAGATGGGAGATGTTACACAGCGAGTAAATGCTGGAAGTGAGATTTGAAGCCATATTTTGCCTAACTCCAGTTACGGTGCTTTTAGCACAGCTATACTGGGGGACTTCTCATCTTATCTGTGCCACCTTAGTCCCTATCTAGAGCCTTAGGGTCCATTATTGGCTGAATAATATCCTTAAGGTACATTTCCGTATCCTTTTCCAATTCAGAAAATATCTTATGTACATTATCTCATTTGATTCCAATAGCCTTGTGAAATGGGCAGCACCAAGATTTTTCTGTCTCATTTGATGGATGAGGAAATTGAGGCCTAGTAAATTCACAATACTAGTCAGGCCACAAAGCTAGTAAGATCCAGAGCTAGAGCTCCAATCCAGGTCCTCTGACTCTAACCTCATGTTTGTTGTTTCATATTGGCAAAACAGTGAACAGTTCCTTACACTTGTAGGGCATTTTTATTTTTTTAATCTGCTTTTTAAAACTATCATTACCTCCTTTCTTTAACTGGAAAATATGGTGTGATATCACCGAATCATCCATTTAACATTTATTTGGCACCTACTGTGGCAATGCAATATTTTGCTAGCTCCTCTGCACAAAAATGTATGAGGACATAAATCTTTGCATTGTAGCAGGGTAACGTGTCTTCCCCGTGAATCAGATGTGCCTGCCTCCCCAAATTTTTTTCCATGTAATAGAGGAGTGGAGAAGGGGAAGGAAGAAGAATGGAATCAACATTCACATAGTCTCTACTATGTGGTGCTAAGTGCTGGAGATGCAAAAAAAGAGCCGAACAATCCGTGCTCTCTAGCACCTCAGTCTAATAGTGGGGACAACATGCAAACAACTATGTACACATGAGCTATATACAGGCTAAATTGGAAATAATTAATAGGGAAAAGGCATGAAAATTAGGAAGGATTGAGAACAAGGCTTCCTCAGACAGGTGGGATTTTAGCTGGGACTCAAATGAAGCAAGGAGGTGGAGGGGAAGAGGCAGAGCATTCCAGCCATGGGAGACAGCCAAAGAAAATAGAGATGAAATGTCTTGAGCAATGAAAAGCAAAGAAGCCAATGTCACTAGATTGCAGCATAGCATGTCCTCTGACTTTTCAGCTTGTGAAACTGTTCAAACCACAGAATGTTCTAGGTTGAAGTGACTCAGTGAGAAGAAGCATTCGAGTCTAGCTCTCCCTTTACCCCTTCTAAATCATGATGCAGAGAAGGCATCAGACTGAATTCTGATCAGGAAATCCATGAAGGAGTCATAATAAATAATTTTTTCCAGCCCAGGATGGCTTAGGGAAACAAGTCTGTGGATTATAGGAAGGAGGCCTGACCAGGAATGTGTGACAGAAATGGTGGGGAGCATTCCAATGCTAAGAGACTAAGAGAGGACTGAGATAGAGTGCCAGAAAGACATCCCTGAGGAAACAGTGAATTCAGGAACAGGTGCCATCTGGCAGCTCAGTCTCCTACCACCCAGTGCCTGGTCACAGATCCAGGGTGGAGAGGAGCGGTAGCTCAGTCATTCAGGAAGCATGGAACAAGTTTTGAGAAACAAATGGCATATGAAGGGCAGCTAGGTGGCCCAGTGGGTAGAGCACTGGCATTGGAGTTAGGAGTACCTCAGTTCAAATCTGGCTTCAGACAACACTCACTAGCTGTGTGACCCTGGGCAAGTCATTTGACCCCATTGCCTAGCCAAAAAAAAAAACCCCAACAACCCCCCCCCCAAAAGAAATTATATATGAGTGGGTGGTTTTGATCCTCAGAACAGAGAGTTCTGTCCCAGACTCTAAGGGAGGCCCCAACTCACTCTGAAACTGGAGATCCTTCTACTGGGCCAGTAGTCGCCAAGTTAAGCAGGAGTCTATTGAAACTGTCAACCAGAATGAAGGCAATAGACCTAAACCTGGTCCAGAGCTTGCAGATCTCATACTGGGAGGGTAGTGGATATATTTCCCCCTTAACCAATCCATTTTGGGGGCACCGAAGGCCTGCAGGCCTTTAGCTGCAGCTGTGACTGGTATGAAAGGAAGATGTGAGAAGACAGAAGCTCAGTCCAGATATCACCCCCCCTCCCCCACAAGAAGCGATAAGAGTCTAGCACTAGTATAGAGTCCAAACTCAAAAAGTGGTCCGGAAGAATGAGCAAACAAACAAAACCAACCTGACCATGAAGGGCTACTATGGTGACAAGAAAGCTCAAGATACAAATGCAGAATGACTCAAAAATAGGTACAAGCCAAGCCTCAAGGAACAATGCGGATAGGACATAAGTACCAAAGAAAGACTAGAAGAATTAAAAGAGGAGTTAAAGAAGAAGCTAAAAGCAGATTGAAAAACCAATTGAGAGAAGTAGAGGAAAGAATGGGAAAAGAGGCAACAACTCAGGAAAAAAAATTATGAAAAGAGAATCAACTACTTGGGAAAAGTGGTACTAAAACTTACTGAAGAAAATAACTCCTTGAAAATTAGAATTGGCCAAATAGAAGCTAATGTCTCCAAGAGACATCAAGAAATAATAAAATCAAAATCCTAAAATGTAGAAGAAAATATAAAACCTCTGATAGGAAAAAAACAACTGACCTGGAAAATGAATAGAGGAGAAATAATTTATGAATCATTGGACCAAAGTCATGAACAACAACAACACCAAAAAGCCGAGACATCGTATTTCAAGAAATCATACAAGGAAACTACCTAGATACCTTAGAACTGGAGAGCAAAGTAGGAACTGAAAGAATTAGTTGTTCACCTCCTGAAAGAAACTCCAAAATGAAAGTTCCCAGGATCATTATAGCCCAAACCCAGAACTTCTAGGTCAAAGAAAAATAATAAAGCAGCCAGGAAGAAAGAATTCAAGTACTGAGGAGCCATAGTTAGGATCATGCAAGATTTGGCTGTCACCAGTCTAAGGGATGTTAGAATATGGTATTCCAGAAGGCAAAAGACCTAGGCTTACAACTGAGCATAGCCCAACCAGCAGAACTGAGTATTATCCTACAGAGGTAAAAATAGATCTTTATAGAAATAGAGGACTCCCAAGCATTCCTGATGAAAAGATGATGGCTGAATACAACATTTAACATATAAACACAGAAGTCAAGAGAAGTATAAAAGGTATGCATGAGAGAAATCTAAGGGATTAAAACACAGTGAAACTTTGTATTCTTACATAAGGAAATTATATGTCTATTAATCTATATTTATCTCAACTATTCTCACTGGGAATCATAGAGGGAGTCTAATTAGACAGAGTGCTTGGATGTGTTTCTATTGTGTTTGGATGATCTCAAAAGAAGAATGGAATGAGTAAGGAAGAGGAAGGGACTGGGAGAAAAGGGAAGGGAGAGGAAGAATGGGGAAAATTACATAAATGAGGGGCCCAAGAAGGAGTTTATACAACAAAGAGGTTGCAGGGATGGGGTGGGAGGGGGGCACACTTGAACTTCACTCTCATCTGAGCTGGTTAAAGGAGGGAAGAGTGCATAAGTACATAGTCAGGTACAAAAATACATCTTACCTGACAGGAAAATAGGAATGAATGGGGTTAGAGGAAAAGCAGGGAAAAAAGGGTAATTAAGGGAAGCATTAGTCAGAAAAAAGCATATTGTTAAAGATGGGGCAGGGAACAACTACAAAAAAAGGATAAATAAGAAAGTATAGGAAGGAAATAAACAGTTGGCACAAGTCGGCACACAACAGCTCTGTAGACATTCAGTTTGGTAGTCAGTCTAATACCTCTTTTCTCCCACTCTTTCCTTTGGAGCCTCCTAAATGCTGAGCTAGCTCTGGCAATGCACGCTTCAAACTCATTATTCATTTAAACATCCATGGAAAGTATATTGCCAAGGTAAGTGAATTTATCCACAGTATTCAAAACTTCTCCATTTGCTGTAACTGATGGTTACACATATGGATTGTGTGGTGCTGGCTGGGGGAGCACCAACTACATTTTGCTAAAATGCACATAGACAGTATGAATACTGAACATGTATGTATGAAAGGGCATAGCATAAATTCGTAGGGGAATGATGGAGTCAAAGAACAAATTATAGAAACAGTAATTTCATTAAAGATAATGACAACAAGACAGTTTACCAAAATATGTGTGAATGCAGCCAAAACAGTACTTGGAGGAACATTTGTATCTTTAAACTCTTTCATTATAAAAAAAGAGAAAGAATGATCAACAAATTGGGCATAGAACTAGAAAAAAAAAACAAAAAATGAAAACCTAATAACCTTTGAAAACCATAGATTCAAATCTCCCATTCCCTAATTTAACATCAGAACAGGAATTGTGAAAATCAAAGGCAAGATTAACAAAATTGAAAGTTAAAAAAAACCCTCTGAATTATACTGGGAGCTATTTTATTTTTTAAAAGATAGATAAAGTCATTATTTTCAGTAGCCAGGATGGTGGAGTAAGCAGTACATCACTGTTGCTTTTCCATATTGATATCCAAAAAGCATAAAATAGCACCCCTGAACAAGTCCTGGAATGGTGGAGCCGGCAGAAAGACTGGGTGGAACAGTTTTTTAGCCCAGTAAACTTGAAGGATCGGTGAGAAAGGTCCATCTCACTTGGGTAAATGGGGAGCACATTCTAAGACAAGAAACACCCCAGTAAGCCAGCAGCAAGCCGCACCTCAGCAAACCAGAGGGAGATCCTGAGCATCAGTGTGGTGGAGGAGGCAAATGCCAATAGTAGGACCCCACTATTTGCTTTAGCATAGCCAGGGGAACTGGCAGACTCTACCTTGGAGAACCACCACGTGCTTCAGTGCAGCCCTGGGGGAAAAACAGAAAAACCTGACCTGGCCTCAGCACACACCAGACACCACTTGTAGGATCCTAGCTCAGCACCAGGTGAGCTGCATACAGCCTCCAACTGCCAGCACCTGAGCCCCAGCACACAAAGCCAGTGACCAGGCCCCTGGCCCCTAGTATGAGAAGCTTGGGACAGTGTCCCCTGTGCTCCAGCAGGAGAATGCAACTTTAAAAGCCAGGAAATGGGCAAAAAAGATAAGCAAGAAGCAAAAATGAACATTGACTGTAGCAGTTACTATGGGGACAGGGAATATCAAAACACAAACTCAGAAGAGGACAACATTGTCAGTTTCCTACATCTGAAACCTCAAAGGGGAATATGAACTGGTCTCGAGCCCAAAAAGCCTTCTTGGAAAAGCTCAAGAAGGATTTTAAAAGTCACATGAAAGAAGTAGAAGAAATGTTGGGAAAAGAAATGAGAGGTATGTAAGAGAGATTCATCAGCTTGGAAAAGGAAGAACAAAAATTGACTGAAGAAAACAATTCCTTAAAAAGTAGAATTGGACAAGTGGAAGCTAATGGCTCTATGAGACATCAAGAATCAGTCAAAACAAAATCAAAAGAATGAAAAAATTGAAGAAAACGTAAAATAGATAATTGGAAAAACAACTGATCTGGAAAATAGATCTAGGAGAAATAATTTAAGAATTATTGGACTACCTGAAAGCCATGATCAAAAGAAGATCCTGGACAGTATCTTTCAAGAAATTATTAGGAGAGGATTCTGGGAAGATGGTGGAATAGGTCAGAAAATTCCAAGCTCTCAAGATTTTCCTCCATGAAAGAGATAAAACAGCACCTCAGGGCAAACATAGAGTAGTAAAAATAAGTAAGAGAAGAAGCAGAACAGGGACAGTTCTGGGACAATCAGAGAAGATCTGAAGAAAAATCCCAAGATAAATTTTGGTCCCTGTGAAGTGTAAATACCTCCAAGCTAGGGGCTGCTTAAACAGTAGGTCAGAAAGCCTTGGGATTAGCTGGTTTGGGAGGCTGCCTGAGCTCCAGCTACAGGAACTTTTATCCCTGGAACAGTGAGGGGAGCTGGGCGTCTGAGCTGGGGAAGATTGAAGGAACCTCTGTTGACAAGGAACTCCAGACTCAACTGTACTATGGAGACTCTTCCAGGGTGAGAAGGAACCAGCACACCCCTGGTGAGTGCAGAAGCAGTGGGGTGGGGATGCCACTGGTTGTGGGCCCTAACAGGAGGCTGGAGGTCTTGGTTTGGGTTCAAGGTCAGAGAGGAAAACTGAAGGAGGATCTGAGGCTAGAGGCACCATTCCCCATCCCCAGGATTAGAAGTGATTACAAAAATTAAGCTATTACCAAAAAAAAAAAAAAGCACAGGCAAAGGAAAAGGAATCCAACCATAGAGAGTTACTATGGGAACAGAGAAGACTACAGTTTGTCTTCAGAGGAGGATAGTGAAGCAAAGAAACCTTGGTACATAAAGTAATGTCAAATGGTCACTTGCCCCCCAAAAATTCACAGAAGAACTTGAAAAAGACTTTAAAAATCAAATGAGAGAGATTGAGAAACAACTAAAAAACCAAAAACAACAGTCCAGGGAAAAACAAGATAATGAAAAGAAAGTCAACTAATTAGGAAAAGAGATTCAGAATCTTAAGGAAGAAAATGACGTCTTGAAAATCAGAATTGGGCAAAGGGAAGCCAGCAAAGTTATAAGAGATCAAGAAATAATAAAACAAAACATAAAGAATGAAAAAATAGAAGAGAATGTAAAACATTTCATAAGAAAAACAACTGATCTGGAGAACGTATCAAGAAAACATAAGAATAATCAGACTACCTGAAAGCAATGATCAAAAAAAAAAAAACCTTGATACAATAATACGAGAAATAATTAAAGAAAATTGTCCTGAAGCGTTAGAACAAGAGGGGAAAGTAGAAGTAGAAAAAAAATCCACCAATCACCACCTGAAAGAGATCCTATGAGGAAGACATACAGAAATAGATTAAAGGGGAATATAGAAGGGTGTTTAGATTAATGGGAATGGGAGGATAAGGGAGGGATTATTGAAGGAGGGGTAGGTTAAATAACAAGCATCCAAGATAGTGGGTAGAAATAAAGTACAGGAGTCAAAAGGGATAGGAGATACACGCAAACATAAAAACAAAGATTAGGACTGGAATGTCTTAGGTAAAGTATATGTTTACATACATATGTATGTATCTATGTATATATAAAAATAATATATACATATATAAATATATATGCAATACCCATGCTTAATTGTAGCCTGGGAAGGGGAGGAGAGGAAGGGAGAAACAAGAACAAAAAAAAAAGTGTACAATATAGAACAAAAGAAAACCTACGAGGAAGCAAAGAAAAGATGGACAGTTTTCAACACAATGCATAGTATTTAATATAGAGGCTGTCTTGAAATGGAAATTTATTGCTATATATTTTGAATCCTCTCTTACATTCTGCTGTGCACGTGACATTTTTTCTTTTCTAATTTTATATTTAAGTTTATAATATGTTTCTTTTTCTTTTCTTATTATGTATTTAAGTTTTGGTAATCAAGCCTAAAATTAAAAAAGATTAGAAAAATAAATTATTAAGGAAAACTGCCCTGACATCCTTGAACCAGAGGGCAAAATAGTCATTGAAGGACTCCACCAATCACTTCCTTGAAAGAGATCCCCAAATGAAAACTCCAAGGAATATTGTAGTCAAATTCCAGAATTATCAGATTGAGGAGAAAATACTGCAGGTAGACAGAAAGACACAATTTAAATATTGTACAACCACAGTCAGGATTATGCAGGACTTAGCAGCTTCCACATTAAAGGATTAGACAACTTGGAAAATGATACTTTGGAAAGCAAAGGAGCTTGGATTATAACCAAGAATCAACTACTTAGCAAAATTGAGCATAATCTTTCAGAGGAAAAAATGGACATTCAATGAAATAGGTGACTTTCAGTTTTTTTGGGGGGCTAGGCAGTGGGGTTAAGTAACTTGCCCAGGGTCACACAGCTAGTAAGTGTCAAGTGTCTGAGGCCAGATTTGAATTCAGGTCCTCCTGACTCCAGAGCTGGTGCTCTATCCACTGTGCCACCTAGCTGCCCCACTTTCAATCATTCTTGATGCAAATACCAGAGCTGGACAGAAAATTCTGTCTTCAGAAATAAGACTCACGAGAAGCATAAAAAGGTAAACAGGGGGAAAAAATCTTGTCATTCAATAAAGTTAAACTGTTTACATCCCTACATGAGAAGATGATACTTGTAATTCTTGAGAACTGTATCTTTATTACAGCATTTAGAAAGTGTACACATAGACCGAGGGTGTGGGTATAAGGTGACTTTGATGTGATGATAAAAATAATTAAGGGGTGAAAAAATGGGTTGTACTGGGAGAAGAGGAAAGGGGGAGGCAGAACAGGGTAAATTTCATCACAGAAAGAGGCGTGAAGACCTATTACAGTAGAGGGAAAAAAGAGAGGAGGGTGAGCATTGTTTGAACCTTACTCTCATAAGATTTGTCTTAAAGAGGGAATAACATACATATTCAGTTGGTTATAGAAATCTATCTTACTCTATAGGGAAGGAGGAAGAGAAAGGAGAAAGAAAAGGGAGGTGGTAGAAGGGAGGGCAGAAAGGTGGGGAGAGGTAGTAGGGGGAAAG